TAAAGTTATATTATTGTAATAGGTTCCTTGAATTGACAAAGAATCTTCATGGTTTGAGATTTTCGAAAGAAACTTTTTTTCACATGGTTTCTATGGTGTTCTTCTTTTAACAAAATGAAAAATATTTGAATATCGACTTTCAATTGTTTTTGTTATTCAACTTAGACAAGAAAGGTGGATACTGCGAAAATTCGAGTGATTTCTGAATACGAGTTCCGACGCGGAAGTCATATTACCCAGGAATTAGCAGCATGGTTTAACATTACCTTACCCACAATATAGGCTCATTTGCTTCAAATAAATAAAATAAAAAAATACGATACATAGCGTCAAGATTTGACTGATCTGCAGAAAGAAACGTGTGTTGAAACTTGTGTTGCCTTGTTGAATCGGTAGACAAATGAAGGAATATTGGATCGAGTTGTGACATGTGATGAAAAGTGGATTCTTTGTGATAACCGTAAAAGAAAGATGCAATGGTTGACTCCAAGTCAAAAGCCACAACAGTCTCCTAAAGCAAAACTTATCAATAAAAAGGTAATGGTAATTGTTTAGTGGTTTTCAGTATGGTGTTATTCATTATAGTTTTTTCCGATCTGGTCAAGCAATAACGAAAGATGTCTATTGTGCCGAACCCCGAAAAATGTTGGCAAAATTAGCAGTAAAACAACCCTGACTCATGAATCGATCTTCACCATTATTGCTCCATGTCAACGCGAAACCTCATACAGCATGAGAAACCACGTTGACCTTCAGAAACTGCAGTTACAAACCATTCGTCATCTTCCGTATATTCGCCAGACCGTGCTCCAAAGGACTACCATTTTTTCCGTGATTTGGACAATTATCTACGTAACAAGAAGTTTTCTTCCCAGGAGGCAGTACATAATGCTTTCACACAGTTTGTGCAGTCTAGATTCTCAGAGATCTATCGCAAAGGCAAAAATGACCTTTCTATTAGATGGCAGCGATGGATGCGGGAGGCGCAGGACCGATCACGTTGGAGATCTTTGGGGGAGGCCTATGCCCAGCAGTGGGTGTCTCTCGGCTGATGTGATGTTGATGATGATGATGATGATGTATAGACAATAATGGTAACTATTTTGATTAAATAAATTTGTTAAGAAATAAACAATTTTGATTTTCAGCACTAATCGGCAGTTTCATACTTTAACCACTATTATTAGTAATGAAATTAATAAAATAAAAACATTGTTTTCATAATTTTTATTCCACATGGATCTTCCAATTACTCACGGCCTTTTACTTTATCTGCTGGCTGATGATATATTGATAATATTAAATATTTTTTTTATTTTTGGCACTGTATTTGTTATGTTTAAATCAAATAAAAACCCTATTTCAGCAACTACTTTACGATTTTCTTTTACGCTCTCAAAATTGAGGGGTTCGTGAAGCCAAAAATCTTAGAAACCCTTTTCTAGTTCAATCTGGGGGCACGAAAGTGCAAATGCCAAGTCGAGCACAAATATAAAAAGTGCACGGTCGTACCATGCTTTCCTCGATGTCTTTCTGGCCATTTTTATCAACGTTTTGGTGATATTACTGAAACGGTGATTTTACATGGGCCGACTCTTGGGTTATTTCACAACAGCCAGAATTAATATACGTTTGCAGTAAATTACCTTCTGTAATTACGATTATTACCTTCAAAGCACAAGCTAGCCTGTTTATTATAATAATCATTTTTAGCCAACCAGCAGTTCATCGCGATCGTTTTTGATGTAGAAATAACTTCAGTATTAATGTAATGGGTGTGCTTGTGTTTTGTCGCAAATTGTCGAGAATTCCAGGAATTTTGGACAATTGTAACCATAGTCATGTAATCGAGCCGCCATTGCGTAAATTTTGCCGTGAACCTACAATCGAATAGCGAACTCCGAGGGCAATCATGTCAAAGTTACGATCCGCGATCACAATTTATAAAAATGCGCGCTCTTTATTTATAATTTCAAGAGTGGCACCTACCTAAATGAGCGCGAGTGTTAATTATGTATGCTTTTCTAAAAGCATGTTTTTTACTTGAACTTACCCTGCATATACATTCTAACCCAAATAAGGCTCTCTGTAAATTTTGACTATCATAGAGGTTCTAGTGCCCCACATGTAGATAGATAGATAATCCAAGGTCTTGAGTTAGATTCTATATGATAAAAATATCTTCTTTTTCAATAATTTCCCTGTTTTTCTTTATCATAAAAAGTTTCAACACAAATGGCATAAAGTTTTTCTATAATTGCGCACTAAGATACAGCCACAAATAGTTCCTGAGGGTAACTTGCTATAACAGAAGTGGGGAAACCGATAAAAAAAAACATAGTTTCCTTGATTATATAATTTATAAAATAAACAAAACAATATTACGCAACATTATTTTATTGATTATAGTAATTATAATACATTTAGAGTTAGAATACAATTTGCATTTTTTTGTTCAATATACAAATAAAGTAAATGTAGGTATTATGAAGCGTATCGTATACGCTAGGGTCTTACCAGGATATTATCTAATTGCTTTACTTATTGAATGTAAAGCAATTAGAGGTAGTAAACATCTGACAGTGTGTGATTTTACACTTTCTAATTATAAGTAGTAAAGTAGTAAAGTAAAAATAATACTATTAAAAGGTATAAATATATATTTTTAACACGTAAGAATATATTTTTTGCATTTAAACTACACTTGGTGATGTTTATCTGGAGGACTTTATCCCCAGATACAGTACGACACTGACTGTTAATTACCTTATGACGTCAGAAGTGGATACTGGTATATTCCTTATATAATATATTCAAATATCCAAGTCCATTAGAACATCGATACTTATAATCGATCACTTAATCATATCATATCATAAATTATTGCATAGTGGTATGTGTCATTCAAATAACTCAATGTTTTAAAATTTTCCTGAGCCCCAATCATATAGTGGGCTTTTTCTAACCTTATCTCAACTGTGCGTTCTAAGAAGATTATTTAAATTTCACTTGTTTTGTGTGTTTATTAGCCAGTTGCACAAACGTGCATTAAAATTGTCATTAGTTTTAAGGGACATTACCGATACAAATTTGACATTCATTAGAGCATAAAACCGTCATTAAGCCTTAATGGACGTTTGTGCAACTCACCGTAAATCAACAAAATAAGAAATAATCAGTGGTACATCTTAACTTCAGTAACAACATTAAAAGGGTTCATGGTAAGACCATGGTTAATATTAATTATTTTGGTTTAAAAAGCAACTTTATGCTAATCTCAATACGACTGTTTGTTGCTGCTGTCAAGGAGAAAATCCGCTAATGCCGCCCCTCTCATGCAGTTGAAAAGATTGACTCTTAATTTAAATTGAGTCAATCAAAAATATATTCGTTTGAGTTCTGCTAATCTGCAAATATAAATACAATAAGTCGACCTCCGGTTACAGGAAAAAGTATTTATTTTTAAATGGAAACAGGTTGCTTTGCGGTATCTATACTAACATTATAAAGAGAAAAGTTTTGATTGTTTGTCTGCATTGAATAGGCTATGGAACTAGTGGACCGATTTTTAACTACTACATCAGGCACGGTTGACTTACGTTATAATTTACGTGGGCAAAGCCGCGAGAAAATATTCTACAAATATTTTAAGATATTTGCCTTGGTTGCTTTTAGTCTTTGGTTGATATTAACCTTAGTGTTTTCTTTCTGCGAATCTAAGTTTTGGTAATGAAGAACTCTTATTTAGTCTTTGAAGCTACTGTAAGCTTAGCTGCAGAACGGAGGCAACGTATAGGTGTTGAACTATAGTTTCCGTTGCTAAGTTCTCCTGGGATTCAATACCCAGAAATAAATATTTATTTGTTGGTCGGGAGACTTACTACTGAAAAGACTTACTACTAAACAATGAAAAATACCTTTGGAATATGACGGCTAATACGCCTGTCGTAGCACAGTTATCATATATAGGTATATATAAGTTTGCATCCATTTCACGCTAGTTATACCAATGGTTTCAATGGTTTTTTACATTTGCTTACCTGCGGGTCGGGTCCCGCCTCATTGCTCGAAGGTCGAAGGTGAGGGGGTCCATTTCCACCCTGGAGTTACTGTCCAGGCCTGGCATAATATCCGACATCCCTTCATTATCTGAAACTAAACAAAATAATTTCAGTGGAAATGTTAGTTATTGCCAGATAAGAAGCATAATTTAAGTTCTTTCACATTTTAATTACGTGATATGAGTTATAATAACATATATATCTTGTGCTAATCCATCTTGACAATGGTATTTCTTTGATAGGCTTCTTTAAACAAAGTTCCTTATTATAAAACGAGGACTATGTTTAGTAACAAGTTTTTAACCATTATCTGATCAAAATAAATTAATATGTCATGTCATTGTCAATTTACTTCAGGCGGCCATTGGTTTAAACCTGTGGTTTAAACTAAGTAATAACTTTAGTTCTTGTTTTATACTAAGATGGTATATGATATGTATCCTAATTCCAGTCATCGCAATATCCAATAATTCACTTACTTCACTTCACTTTAGGGTAAATTGCCAATATCATAATCAAGGATATATTTTTTTCTGATAATTTAAATGAAGCTGCTTTAATGTTGATGTCTTTGTTACTGGACTCAACGTAAGCTTTTGATAAAGCTTAGCCCTTAGCGCAAAATTTATCTAGTGCGAATTGAATACGTATCAAACACGTATCAAGTTATAATATGTGAAACTTACCTATGCCGCTCGTATGAACGCTACCGTCGAAATAAACGGTACCTTCTGTATCAGGGGTTAGTTCTGAAAAAGCATATAGCGAAAAATAAGTCTAATGAAAGAGTCAGTTGCACGTGACTTACTTTTTTGTGGCAATATCGGTATAAGTATCTGTTACTTGATGCCATCCTTAACTACAAGACTAAAATTCAAGTTTATAGTCGTTATTTGGATGAGAAATAAATGTGTGGAGGATGGCATCCTCAAGAGTAGTTTAAGCTTAACTGATTATTTAGTCTAGGAATTAGAAAGACTGATTATATAACTTACCAAACTGTTTGAGATTCAGTTCTAATTCGTCATTATCTGCAAGAAATAATGTAGTTAGTACTTAAACAAAAACCCCGTGACAAATGAAGTTGCTTTTCCAACTGAGCTTTACGACTGTCGACTTTTTCAAGTACTTGCTGGATGAGCTACGTAAATAGCAATATTGAATTAATACTCAGATGTTATACAATTTATAAATAAGTGGTTTCTTTGATGCCTTTTTATAAAAGAGACAAAAGTAGTAAAAGTGGTGAATTCTAAGAAATTGATCTGTTGGACACACTGTTTATAAATAAAAACGGACCTGGGAAATATGCGATTGTTGTTGTTTCTACTAATGGTTGAGTTGTAACAGATGATGCAAAGAATGGTGAAACTGATGGCATAGTTGATAGAGAAACTGTAATAATAAAAGTTTTTAATATTAATGTAAGATTTCTGCTCAGGGCAAAAGGTTATAGATGAGTTCGAAAGAGACTAGAATAAACCCCTTTTCTGTTTTCGTATTGGAACTGTAGCCTCGAAGAATCCTTTCAGAATATGTTACAGTTAGTTTATGTGGAATTCGGAAAGTATTTCAAAAGTTCACGCAGACTAAGACCTTAATCTATGGATTACAAAGTTTTATTACAGAAATAAATTGCATGTTTCGGTTCATGTTATGGTTTCATATGATAAGCAAACATTTTTTTTATATTTGTAACAGTGGTTGGAGCTACTTAGTTTTAAGTAAAAAAAAATGTCGTGTGATTATTATTAATAAATCCAATTTCTAATACCTTCATGATTATGACGCGGGATATTATTGTTATTCGATTCTGGTTCTGTTACTGGAGATCCATTAGTTGTCATTTGACTAGTATCAGTTTGAATAGGCACAGTAAAAGGCATTTTCAGATCTGTAACAAAACATTCAATATAAGTATCTGAAATAGTAATCTTAATTTATTTCATCATGATCAGTCTTAATATAAATCTTAATATTTTTTTTTATATATCATGCAGTGCTGAAATGGAAATGAAATAAAATCATAACCGACTCTTTGTTTGTTAACTTTTGCCAAGTTTCTATACTATCCACTCATCTAAAGTGGATAGTATAGACGTAGCATTCAATAATAGATACAATTTCAATAAAATTTTGTTCAAGTCTGAATTTTATAGATATTTTTAACTCACCTATAAATTGTAATCTTCTCAAAGCTTTCTCCATGCACCAATGCAAGACTTGATCATTTGTGTTTTGTCCAATTTCATTGCAAAAACTTTTAGCCATTATCATAAAAGGATCGTTCTTTTCCTTATTCGAAAACAGTTTCGTTTTTGCAATATCTACTTTCATCATTGAACCTTCCAGAGTTTTTGATCTAATAGGTTTCTCATCTTTTATATCTTCATTTTCAGAATTTGTTTTACCTCGCAATTTACGTTTCAATTTCGACACTGACTGAGTATGGCGAATCCATCTTTTTTCTCGACTGAGTTTCCCTTCGATATCTTTAGTTTTCACCGGTAACAATAATGTAGTTTCGACGATATCTTCGTCCCTTTTGCTCTTTGCGTTTCTAGTGAGCTCGGTATTTCCAGCGGTAGTCATAAAATTATTAAGAACTTTGCTTTTCATAAGGTTATCAATGAATGTGTTATTAAAGTAATATTTATAAACCAAATCATCAACAGGTGATTTGTCTTTCTCGTTCAGAATGAAAGGGTCTTGGTTAGGCAATTTATTTAGTGCTGGTATAGAAAAAAGGTTAATTTTTATTGAATCACTTGTTGATTCCTGGGTTGTGGTATGTGTTGCTTTGTTAGGTGATTCTGTAGTTGTTACAATATTATTCTTGGGATTAAGCGTAGTTGTAACCGTTTTAATAGGAGATGAATATTTGTTGTCAATGTATATTTGCTTAGCTTTCTTCAGTATACGAGCGAAGTTATACTGTCTATGGGATATTTCGCTTTGCGTTTTAGCTATCAAATTCTGTTTCATATTTATCTTTTCATTTTGATCCAACATTAACTTCTGTATACTGTAAAACTGACGTTGTTGCAACAAGAATTTCTTCTGTTGATTTTCAAATTCTATCAAGTTATTACTCATTTCTTTATCTTTCAGTTTGAAATATTCTTCTTTCAAATCCATTTTAGACTTAAACTCTTTAATTTTTTTAGACACACCCATAATAAATGAATATTTCTGTTCAATTTCTGCAATTTTTTTAGTGAAATCTGTTATGTTTTTCATTATTTCAACATCTAGATTATTCAATTTGGTATATATTTTTCTTATATCACTGTGTTGTTTAATTATTTTCTTAAAAGTCTTTGTCAACATCGACAGGACCTTTATCAGTCCCCTTTCATTTATTGGTTTATTTTTATGAGGTTCCACAATATATGAACTCGTATCATGTTTTATGTCAAGAAGAGCAGAATTCTGGTACCAAACTCCATGTTGATTATCATAAGCATTTCTGTCGATTTTACCACTTTTGTTATGGTTGCTTAGCTTATCAATTTCTTCTGTATATTCTATCTTTTTTATAATTTCACTTTCATAATCGTTTTTCATACTTCTTTTAGGTGTACTATTAATGTCGTCTGTGTCGTTATATTTAATCACGTTTCCAAATTGGGATTCTGTTTCAACTAACGTGTCTACTATAACTTGAGGGGGCTCTTTACTTTCAGTTAATGGTATAACGAGTTTGGATACATCTTCGCTTTCTATTGTTTTTCTTATTGCTTTTGGCCTTTCTATTTTATTACTTCCTAACATCATCGCAACTTCATAAGGATAATCATTAAAGACAGAAGCCGGTTTCAATGTAGATATTATTTTAGATTTAACTAGTGCCGGTTTGTCGCTTGACGTTTTTCTAATGCATTTTTTGTCCCCTTTACAGCTCAGACGTTCTTTAGGGTTATTTTTTCTTTCATCTGCAACATAATATCGATGTATTAAACATATACTTATAACTAAAACTGAAAGTTGATGTATGTTCTTTTATGCCTAGATTTTTTTGCATACTTTTCTATGCAAAATTGATATCATATTTAGAGACATATTTAGCTCTTATATTGCGTATATACATTGATTGATTAAAGGCGCATGTGGACGATATCTGTTCCTCGCTTTCATTGGTCGTTCACTCTTTTATTGACCAATAACCACGCAGAGATCGCCCGTATCGGTGCTGTTCCAATAGACATAATAGTAATATAATTTAACGAAAACAAATTTGTCAATTTGATTTGAAAAAAAAATATATTAATAGACATTTTAGTGGTAAATCACGATAGGGTAGGCCGTAGCGCTGTTAATATATATTCAGAGACTGCTGAAAACTATCATTCTAGCTTAACTATACATTATATTTCACATAAATACTTACGATCACTCGCTCTTTTGTTTCTCTCGACATAACTAGATAGGATCGGACCACTTTGCATAAAACTGTCATCAAACGTATCGAAATTATTTTGTAATAAATTGTCAGCATCTACAGAGTTTGCTCTGAATATGAAATCACCAGTCGTCTTCTCGTACGATTGTTGTTTAACTTTATTTTTGATCCAAATACCTTTATTTAGAATATTGCTACTCTCTAATTTCGGCTTCAGAAAGTTATTTTCTGCTTCCAAAAAATTTGAGGTAATTGCACTAATGTATAACACTGTTATATTTAAAATAATTAGTTTGAACATCACTAAAGCTTCTCTGACATAGCTTGGGTGAATGAATTGTGAGAATGCGCTGGTTAATGGAATTTAGGATGTATTTGAATTGTTATCTGAAACTGTTTTTGGTTTGTTTGTAAATAATTTGTTCAGTCATGTTCATTGTATTACGAAGAAATGTATCGATAGTTTCGTATGTGATGGTCATGTTAGATGTTTGTTATATTTTACGCTTTTTAATATCTACGAATAACAACAAATTTTATGAGTTTTTCTTAAATTGTAATTATAAAGTATTGCTAAGCAAACAAACAAACTACCAAATTCTACTGCCAACATAGGGCCTACTCTTTGTCATATATATCATAACAGGTGAATAATAACTCTCATCAGTAGTGATATAAATACAGGGATTCTGGTATAATATAAAAACTAATAGTTTCTTACTCTGAGATGGAACTCCATCAACTTTAGTGCCAAGGACAAAGACTTTTTAAGCATTTTTCATAAAGAATATTTTACAGAATGGCATTGTGAATGCAAAATTGATCGAATATAATAACGAATAGTTTATTGTAAAACAAATATTATTAAGACTATCTCGTGAATGCTCAACGGTGAAGATGTAATTTTTTTAATATTTTATACAAAATTATCAAAATCATTCAAATAAGTATTTATTTCTCAAAAAGTAATCAATATCATATTGTAAGACTAAAGTCAAGTTTAATTCTTTAATTAAATGGTTCATTTATATGTATGTATGATTGATTAGTTCATGGAAGAACAGGAAGAATCGACGATATGCTTGAACAATATATTTATTTATCGATAAAACTATCGATAATTCCCGCATCACTGATCAGTGTTTACGGTTTCAAATTTTTTAGATGACACACAGTTTACAATTGCTAATGATTTTATTTCTTTTGTTTAATTTGTAATTTTAACTGCTTTTCTATTGTTTCCAGCGATAAGGGCTTTGACCTCCTTTTGCAAAGAAAAAGTAGTGATGCGTTTTTAAGTTCCTGATTACACTATTTGATTAACGATTTGATGAAATGATTTTTGTGTATATTAATGGAGCGTCTGGGGGTTTTGACCTTGGATCTCTCAGGGGTGAAAAAAATTATATCGAAAAAAGTTACCAAGCGACATTAGGGGCCAAAATGAGTTTTTTATATATTCGGAATCAGCGATTTTTTCTCTATCGAATAGTCTTAGTCCCATGTCTCTACGAACACTTTTGATGTCGCTTAGGAACTCCATAACAACAGGTATTTTTCTTGTTTACGGCGACCAAGCGACAACATTTTGACACGTTTTAAAAAACTAGGTATTTGGTGATATCTACTTGATATTTTTTTTCACTTGGTAATTTTAGCATTTACACAATTTTAATTCACTCTACAGTAAGTAATTTCTGCCTGTCCACTGTTAATATCAAATTGGTACTCGGGAATTTTTACCTGAAATACATTTATTTATTTATGGTATTTTTGACTCTTTTACAAATCTTTGAGATGTTTTTTCTGTCGTTTAGTAATTTTTGACAAACCGTAGTCATATCGAAGATCAATATAGTCACTTTTACTTGCCGAAAATAGGATAATATATGGCGCTTGGTACCTTTTTACCTGCCGTTTTATTCGTGAATTGTGTTACTTGGATACTTATTACTGAAAAAAATATTTGATTTTAATGTATTTAGTTCAAACAAACACTTGACGCGTTGTCGCTTGTCCGCGCTGAGAATCATACCTAGTATGGTGAATGGTAACGGTTTTATCGATCAGTCGTCTTTCCATTGTCGCTAAGGACCTTAGGACTTCAGACGGTTCTTCTATCAGAAGGTTCCTTAGGACTGTCTTGTGTGACACGACACTTTGTATGTATTGAAAGTATTATCTTCAAGCTAATTTGTGTTTCTGTTTATTTGAGTGATAGATTTTTTAAACATAATTAAATCTTTTAGTGTCACCATTCTAATTTTAACATGAATCGCATTCGGCGAGTAGATGACATAAATGGCCGAGTTTTATTAATTTCTAGTGTTGAAAGTAACGATTCAGCATCGGTAAGTTATATTAATATAATATTTAAATTTTATTTACTTACCTAATTTAATAAAATAAATGTACCTAATTTAAAAAGTAGTTACGCGGTGACATCTTATGTTTTATATTTTAGCACGAGAAAATACCAGAGGAAAAGGACCGATATAAAAAACGATTGAATAAAGTCCGCAAAAGACTGTATTTTGTTGAGCCAGAGCCGGTAAAGTTCTTTTTTGTTTTATTGTTTGGATGTCTCATTTTTTCAATTTACTTTGAGCTCTAGGTCAAATTTATTTGGTGACAGGTAAATTATTACTAACACACATTATACATAATTTGATATGTTGAATAGGAAACTTTGCTTCTTATAATAATACAATTTTAAGAAAGCTAGACTTCTTTGCTTGTTCAATTAAAAAAATAAATCCCTGTTTGCCCCTTTTCGCTTCAAACCTTTTGAAAATAAATAATTATTTATTTTCAATAATTATTATAATAATTTGGACACCTTTGCCAGCTTGAAAGATAAAATATTTTTGTAGGTTGGTAACTTTTACCTGCTTCTTATTTCAGGTAAATTGTAACCAAACGCCTCTTCGTTGCAAAATATACAGAAATATTTCTTTGTAATATATTACTAATAAAGCCAATTTAAAATAATTTAAAATTCTATTGGATTTTTAAAAATAGCTATAATGGTTAATTTTCTACGATTTTTTTTATAAAAAGTAAATCTTTAGACGGCTCTGTTGTAAAATTTGCAATATGGTGCTTGGTAACTCTTTACATTCCACCGTCGATATATAACCTACGGATTTTTCAAATATACTCTAAATTGAAACATCTACCAATATGTTGTTTTAAGCTTTCATGACCATTTACATAAGAATGATAGTTTTTTACGGGATTGTTACCATGTACATGGTTTTTATTGGTATGAGTATCTAACGAAAAAGGATTAGAAAGTAGATAGATCTGCCTAAGACATCCACCCGCAAAAACTTCAGTTACTACGCGATCATGGTGCTTTCAACAACGTCGGCATATCGGGAATTAAAATAAGGTAGATAGTAGCTATCCCGTAAAAAATATTATCCTAATTTCTACCAATATAGTGTTGTGCGATTAATTAAAAAAAACTAGAATAGAATAGAATAGAATTACTCTTTATTGTCAACACCACGGATACAGAAATTTACATACAAATATTAATATTATAGTGTAACAATTGGCGGTCTTATCGCTTAGAGCGATCTCTACCAGACAACCTTAAAAAAAACTATGCTGGCTACTAGAAAAACCACCCTTTGGAAAAAGATACTATATTTTTCTTCCTTAACTATCCTTACTAAAAAAGCAAAAAAAAACTCGGTCTGAAACCTGCGGTTGCCAGGAAGAAATCGCTATTTAACGATGAGGCCGCCGATTGTTTGATTTAATAAATGCTACTAATATGTCTTTTCTTATGGATGGTTAAGGAGGATTGGCCATGACCCTTCACGCTGGCCCAATTCGAATTGGAGGGTATTAACGACTTCAAATGCAGCCGGGAGCAACGGCTTAACGTGCCTTCCGAAGCATAAAGTAGCTCGAGATTTTTTTAGGACACCCATCCCGTGACAGACCCTTGCGAAAGTTGCTTAACAATAACGATCGCGGGCCGTGGCGCTTATCTACTACGCCACCGAGCTACTTTACTAAAATGTGATGTAACTTAATGAATATGGTGTACAATAAATATATATTTTTTTTATTAATTTAGATGAAATGTTGTGTAGAAAGTATATTGTATTGTTTCGAGTTGCGGATTATCTTGGGTTTATGCAGCCCAGTATCACTGCGACCATTGCTGATCTATTGTGATCTCCACATACTACAGTTCACGGTCAAGATTACATTCTACAAGGAACTGTAGTATTTTCTTGGCCGTAAGTTCTTTAATATCGTCTGGGTGCATCACGTGCTTTCCCAGATAGATACATCGTTTTCGCATTAGTAACGGGCAATCGGTCAAAATGTGCAAAGGTGTTTCTTCTTCCTCCTTGCATCCTCTGCACATTCTACTGTCGCTGATCCCCATATTGTGCATGTGTCTGTTCAGTCCACAATGCCCTGTGAGTGCTCGTACTAGTGTGCGAAGGTGAGTTTTGGTTAAGTTTAAGGCCTCTGATGCCGCCTTTTTGTTGAAGGTTTTAATCAGGGTCTTAGAGTGTTTCATACCGGGAGTGTTTCTCCATAGTTGAATAGCTGCGTAGTGGCAGTAAGTTTTCAAGGTGAGCTGGGTTAGGCTTTGAGGGATGCCACAGAAAGGTTCTGGTCCGATAAGGGCGTCTTTAGCACCCTTTTTCGCCAGTTTGTCCGCCTGTTCATTGCCCTCGTGTCCAGCGTGCCCTGGAACCCATCGTAGAACTACTTTGTTGTTGTTGCCCAAAGAGTTCAGTGTCTGTTTGCAGTTCTCGACCAGCTTCGATCTAGTTATGTCGGAAGCTAGTGCTAAGAGTGCAGCTTGACTATCAGAGTGGATGTAGATAGTATGATTGAGGTAGTTATTTTGCAGATTGGCTGCCGCACATTCCAAAATGGCGTACACCTCTGCCTGGAATATTGAGGAGTACTTTCCCATGTTCAGACTTATAGCCTTCCTTGGGGCTTCTCCATGAATTCCACATCCTACCTCAGGACCGGATTTGGAGCCGTCAGTGTACCACTTTAGGCTTCCATTTTTCCATACTATACGATTGTTTGACCAGTCGTCCCTGGTGGGTATCTCCACAAGATATGACCTGTGTGAATCGATTCTCGGGGGCATGGTGTCAGTAGGCATCCCCAGGATTGGTATATTGCATATTGAGTCCTTCAAGTACCTCAAATTACCTGACAGTAGATACTGTAGAAAGTATAACAAAAGTATGAATTTTTCGTCGGAATAACTTAAATAATAAAATTGTCGTTTTATTAATCATCATCATCAGCCCTTTTTACGTCCCCACTGCAGGGGCTCAGGCGCTATGGGTAGAATGGAATCGAATAGGGGGAATGGGCCACGACCACACGACGCCTGCCCTGTGCGGATTGGCGGGTGTTAATGATTGCAGATACAGCCGGAACCAACGCTTAACGTGCGGAGCAGTTCGAGATACAAATTTTTTGGTCACCCATCCTATGACCGTTCATTGCGGAAGTTACTTAACAACTGTACCTCAGACCGAACGCGGTAACCAATGCTCTATCGAGTTTTAAATCTTAATGATGTTGTCGTTTACAGAGGTGTGAAATTTATTAGAAGAAGTAAATAAAAAATATGAATAATTATCAAGAATTTATTTTTTTAAACATCTTTAACGTAAATTGGTTAGAACATTGTTTCTCAATTAGTGGTCCGCAGACTCCTGGGTTCCGCAGAGTCGTATCACCGAATGTGCGTCAGTTAAATTACAACTCCATAGCAGTACCAACCAAATATCACCGGTTGTTGAAAAAAGTACTAGATTATTCATAGGATTTGATAATTAAAGTATATTTTTATATAAAAGTTTAAATTTCAAAAAGTCAGGCGGCCTTTGAATTATGCTCGTACTTAATTCCCTAGGGTTTTAAACCCCCGGAGAGTTGAGAAAACACTGGATATGAAACGAAGAAATAAAAATCTATTGAGTCGATTGACTTTTAAGGATGTTTTGATGTTGTTTTCGGCTCGGTAGTTAACTTTCTTCATCAGAATTCTTCTTCCTGTAAAAAAATGTATTGATATTATTATAAATCGAGTTCGAAATTTATAATTATTTCGTCATTTTAGATTGAATGCCAGAAAAATCCTCTTAAGATGATACTGAATGTAAATTGTATAATATTATGGGTTCACATATTTCGCCGAATACCCTATATAGGTATTAGGTTGAGGAAAAGTCTAATCATCTTATCAGGATGATGTCCCTACGTACAAGAAGGCAAAAAGTTATCGAAAAAATTGTATTTACATTCTGTAGTTAAAAATGTTTCGAACTTTCGTATAAAATGAGAAAAAACTTTTTCCACCAGCCTATTATAATAGCAATATAATATTGTGAATGCTAAATTCATCTGTTATAATGATAATGATTTATCAAATAATGCTATTAAAAGCGTTGTCGACTGGAAGCTTATTAATTATAAGAGCTCGATAGTACAGTGGTAAGTGTATCAGTCTTCGATTGGCAGGTTTAAGTAATTTACGCAAAAGCCACCCATAGGATGGTTGACCAATTATTTATTATATCGGACTCTTCTGAAGGTACCATAAAACGTTTTTCTGTACTTTTTAACGGCGATATCATATTACTGCACTCGTCTCCCGCTTCTTACTCTTGTTGCTGCCAAAATAGCATTGGTTGGATAGAAAAAAATCCTAAAACTTACTTTCAAATTCAATTCCATTCACATTCAGAATAGTGTCCCATGTCTGTGACAAAAGGGTATCTAGTTCAGCATATGCCAGAAGAACTGATGCTCATTTTCCACTCGAGCCTTTCCTATATTGACACAAGGTTGCCACCCAAACTAAGCATATCATCGTGTGATCTTGTCGCACTGACCTTTGTGCTAGCCGTGGGGACATTAATAGACTGATGATGAATAAAGATAACTCTGCTACTTCAATTTTCTCACCTCGTGTAGCAAGGTATATCCCAGAATCTCTGCCCCTTTCCAAAATCTTCCCCATCCAGTATAGTCTGTGGCATTGGTTTACCCATAGACTCCGGCAGGAATAAACATAGACCACCGCCAAAAATGCCGAGGGCGCCGAGAATGAGCAGGGGTATTTCCGTTGCTATTGTCGCCTGAAAAATAATAATTAAACTACTCGTAATATCTTAACCGTGAGCATGTATCATTATATAAGTGTTTAAGTTCGCTTGTGTAAAGTGGCGTACTTTATTAATTTTAACAGTAAACGAATCGAACCCTTTTCTGTACACTTCACGTTTATTAAATGCTAGCTGTTTCTGATCTGCTACATCTGCGTATGATGTAGCTTCCCACAGGTAAAATATATTTTTTTAAATCGGTCCAGTAGTTTTGGAGTTCTTCGTATAGACAAACGAACAATCAGATCGTTGCTCTTTATATTTCTCCATTAACTCTCTATTTGAGAACATATTTACACCACAGACATACTATATTTATTACCTACGAAATAGTCCAAAGTTCATTAAAACTGACCTTTAAACCGAAATAGCTGAGCTCCCAAGACGAATAAAGACAGTATCAGATGTTGTTACTAAGGGATTAAAAGTGAGGCAAACTTCTTAACTGATTGTCCCCGAAGGGATATTAAAAATACTTTTGTAAGGCCTTGCTTACATATCTCTGCCTAGATATCTCACGTCGGATACTCTGAGGAGCGCTTTATATCTTAATACTAAATTATAAATACTATACGAGTATTATATGACTTAACAGCGTAGTAGCTTGGTGGCGTAGTGGATAAGCGCCGCGGCCCGCGATCGTTGTTGTTAAACAACTTTCGCAAGGGTCTGTCACTCGGTCACGGGATGGGTGACCAAAAAATTATTATCTCGAGCTACTTCGTGCTTCGGAAGGCACGTTAAGCCGTTGTTCCCAGCTGCATTTGCAATCGTTAATACCCTCCAATCCGCATTGGGGTAGCGTGGAGGGTCATGGCCCATCCTCGTTTACCATCCATAAGAAAGGCCTGAGCCCCTGCATTGGTGATGTAAAAGGGCTGATTATGATGATATCAGCGATTGATCTCGTTAGATAATGAAATATAATGGAAAATGCATTCACCAAATAAACGATGTATGGAACAAGTATGGTGGCCACGTATCCAGTCATATGTATGAGGGCCAAGCCTTGAGCTCTGACTACCGTCGGCAATATCTCAGCGGCGTACTGCATGCCTATGTTGTAGGATATGTTTACAGCGAAGCGGCCGATTATAGCCAGTGATGCCGATTGTAAGCCTGAGGAGTGAGTCTTCATTATTGGTCTATCGTCACTTGGCTTTATAGCTGGTCAGGTATGAAGTAATTATTTTTAAATTGTCACGAGTTTTGTGATCTTTGTTGTTTTAAATTTCCACAACACAAGTGGTTAAGCTAATTTATGTGATGTTTTCTATTATTATATTTAATATTTTTTTGTATAAAAAAAATATTGAGGAAATCTACAATTTCTGTACACGATATTCATTTGATAAAATCACTACAGACGGCCATTCCAATACAGTGATCAAGTAGTTTGCAAAGATTTTGGAACATCTAATAAAAATGTGAAAAGTTCGAATATGATCCAAACCTTTCAAGAAGTGTGTCAGTTGAAAACTTTAATTCAGCAACGGTAGTCAACATAATTGCTACGCTATTACGACTTAATTCTTCTTAATATTGTTCCATAAATAAAATACAAATTCAATTACCAATAGGAACAGTCGTAGCCAAAAAACTGAATACTCCACTGAACGCCATCGAACTGAATGCTAACCAACGGCGCCCTACTCTGCAATACAAAAAAACTCAATTTTTGATAAATCCATGTTACTTTTTAAGTTTAGACTATTCAATCTCTGAAAAATAGGTTTGGTAGATTGTTAAGACATTGACGTCCATCGCGTCTTGTGTCCGAAGAAATTTTAATGAGAGGGGTTAGCGATTCAGTGTTTTACTTCAGTTTAAAAATTACCAACTATGCGGACAAGTACGTAGTTTTAATTGTAAAATGCAAACAATTGTGTTCTCTTACCTATCCAACAGAAGAATAAGCAGAATATCAGCTGGAAACTCGGTAGCTGTTGCTATGGTGAAAGTGATGAACATGTCCAAGCCCAGAGAACCGACATTCCTGACGTGCCCATCGAAGACCATCGCTATGGAGGTCCATATGAACAGCAGGAGAATACTATTACGTCTCAATCTAGGTGTTTTGAAAAGGTCTGCTACTGTGTAGTTCTTGGTTTCTGCGTCCTCTTTCGCCATATGAATAGCGGTGTCCTGGAATAAAAAAGAGAAATAGTACTTATGTTATTATTTCTACTAATGAATTAAAATATGAATGCTTTATACAAATATTCTTTGAGAAAGCAATTTTCATGTCCAACCTTTTTTACCTACCGACCATTTCTAATATATAGTATTTGACCGAGAAACATTAGTTTTTAATAACAGGTTTATTAAACAAGAAGATGAAAGGAGAATGGGCAGAAGTCGGCTAAAATTACACAAAATTGCGCACTACGCATTTATTTATCAAAAATCTTCTCTTTAATAATTATTCATTCTATCCAAATACTATTTTAAAATTATGCGGCATTAAAAATTAACTCTATTAAAGTAATTGCTAAATATAACTACTACTACCTACTAAGATTTAAGTTATTCATCAACTTCACGAGCGAACTTCCTTATACTAATTTTACAAAATAAAGTAATTTAACTCTGATAATTTTGGTCAGGTATTATATTAGTAAAAGATTTTTTAAATCGGCCCAATAGTTTTTGAGAGTATCCTTTACAATAAAAAAGGAAAACTTTCCTTTTTATAGCATAGGTATGTACTTTATCGCAGTTAAATATTTCTATTACTAACAACATCAATTATTTGAAATACATAATTCATTTTATTGCTCTTGTATACGTAGATATTATAACGATATAATCTCAAAATCTCTGTTAAATATTCAGATATTCTCCAACTCCGGCATAAATTTAAAATGATTTTTTTCCTACTCATTCTAGAAATAATTCTCTATAGTTTACCGTTAGTTTCAACGAGGTGCACAGTCACGCAAAAATAGCCGAACTCTCATAGTAAATTGCCCATTCTCCTTTAAGGGTGTGTCGTTCAGCGTTTTCTTCGCTTCGCAGAGATTGTTAAGTAATATAATAAAATATTTTTAATTTAGTAGGCATTAGGTTTTAAGTATGGAGTCAGTGACAGACAGATTCTTGAGTCTCATACAAGACTTTTATTTTATTAATGTCTCATCTAGGGCGATCAGCTAAGAAGCTAGTCTTACTTTAAATTCCTTATAAATAGCATCTGGAATTTTCTTTCTATTAATTCTTTCAAGCTTCAATAAGATCTTCATGGCTTCATCTATTCGCCCTTGGGAGATCAGCCATCTGAAACCAAAAGTTTTAATGAACTTCGACTTTCAATGCTTATTAATTTATAGCACGCTTTTTTATATATTTGATGCTATAACAATTTCTTTGTCCACTTACATTTGATAATAACAAAACAACATTTCCATAGTTTCTTATTCTGTTACATTATTATTTCCTTATATTCAATAAACTATGGCACCTTCGAGGTCTACTAGGATCATATTGAATGCATGTATTTTATATAAGAAGTTTTCCTACCTAGCACTCTCAGGTACAACCCAGGGAGTCAAGATTGACAGCACCAGCGGTACACTTGTGATTAGTGTGTAATATCTCCAGTCCGAAACTCCGAGTGCTATCCAGGGGAGGATGCAAGCAGCAAACGTGAAGTATACAGCGATAGACATGTTAGCTACAAATGTACGCCATTTCGGTCCCACATACTCCAGCACTGGGTGGGACAAAAAATTATTTTAAATAATATAAACCTTAGTCCTGAATTAACTCATCAAGGAGCAAGTGATATTCGGCTTAATAATATTTTTATAAGATTTGATTCATACTCGGCAAACAATCGCATTTAGTAACACTATTTAGAAAAATTGTAAAATACTTTAAATGACAGTACAGTTAACCTTATTTGATCGTCGTACGCAACTTATTTAGTATGTATGCGAAATCCTATATCCAACCATTGACCAAGCTTGACTTGGTGCATCTTTGTGTTAGGCAAAAGTCAACTCTATTTGTATATAGCTTGATTATGTTTACGTATATGTACAGGTATTAGTCGTATATCTTACCAAGAATGTACATGATGACAAAGCAGTTGTCATACGCTAAGCCCACTAAGAATCTGCACAGGCAAAAAGACCAGAAACTGTTGGTGAAAGCTGTGCCGACGCCAGCGAAGAAACCAGCCATATTGGTACCTGTAAGCAAAAAGGATGTTTCTGGTGTAAATTATAATTACTTTACGTAGTGTTTTGGGTTTATCAAATAATGATAGCTTTTGTCAAACCTGACTAGGTTTAAAAACACCGACGCAATATTCAAGCATGTGTACTGATAAAGGTTCTTGCGACAATACACGTATGTATAATATAAGAATCGAATTAACTCAGAAATAAAAGATAACATAAGGTTATTGTAACAGCAATTCAAGCAACGTGATTTTATAATAAGATATGTCTCAAACTCGACGTCAAGCTCAGTGCTTGAACAGCATAGAGGTTCAATGAAATAAAACCTATTACCCTTTGAAGTAGGTTTTATTTGATTGAACCTCTATCATCGTCTATCGTCGTCAACTGCTGGAGAATTTTATTACTGAATAACACTGCAGGTCGCTGGGTTATCTGGGATAGTGCGAGATACGGTACTTGCTATTAATTATTCTTTGTATTTCTCACAATACCACTCATACAAGATCACCCACACTTAGACTGACTGACATACAGCACAACATCAGGTTATTCAAAAACTGTCATATTTTCCAAATCAAATTTAAGCCTAAAATCTTAAATTTAACATTCAAATAGATTGATTTGATCGCTTGATTCATAGTGATCTGATGTGATGATCCATGTAGAGGAATATCAATAATTTACCAACAATTGCCGGAACCCTTCCGTATTTGTCTGCGACCCATCCAAAGAACAGTCCGCCAATGATAGCTCCACAGAAGAAGATCGATTGTGCTGTCGCTGGATAGTTGTCTCTATCGCATACCCAGCCCAACTGTTGGCAAAGAATTAGATGCTGATAAAATATGGTTTAATCAGATAAGGATAGAAAACTATTATATTATATATCTTTTATACTTTTGTTTTAATGTACGTTATTTACTTTCCAAATAAGTTCCAATTGATATGGCTCACGGTCAATCTTCTGTCGCGTCGAAAATATGCCAATAATAAACATAGTTTTGACTAAAATTAAGAACTTTAAACAAGAACAATTATTATTTTGTCTGAATTTAATTTTACCATACATTCGGCTATTGTCTGAATTTTGTTGATAGGTCTACACTGTGTAACGAAAATTCACTATGCCTAATATTATTTGAAATTTACTGTCATGAAGTTAATTTCGTTTCGGAGTAATAAGTTGCCATATTTTTATAGTGAAGCAAGTTTATTCTGAAATCTTACTTGTGTAGCAATCGTTTCGTATGGTACATCCGTAAAATTGAATTCCCACTTGCTATCGCATTTCTTAATTGGCCATTTTGCATCCGGGTCAACAGCACCATTTTGTAATACTTTATTCCAATCGACATCGTATACGGTGCATTTGTCGTAACCATTGGTTGTTAACGGTATGGATAGATGTCGCCTGAAAAAATAAGTTAACATTACTGATATTATAAAGAGAGAACTCAGAACATAAAAACTCTTTCACGTATGAGAAGCTACATTAAACGCTGGTGATATAGGCAATCATTTACTCGGAAGAAGTCGTGGGAAAATGCCAGGTATTTTTGATGCATAGAAAAAGAATGAAAATGGAAGCATTAAATATTTAAAAAATTGTTTCGGTGTAAATTATAACAGAGACACGCTTTCGAACATGTGGGAAGAATGCTGGATTAAAAAGTGACAAAATTGAAGTATAATACGAATATGGCAGGGAGGTCAAGATACACAGAACGACAAGAATGATTGAATATTTCCAGAGCAAGTGTAAAAAGAGTTATGAATATAAAGGAAGCGATCATCATCATCATCAGCAAGGGTATTAACGACTGCAAATGCAGCCGGGACCAACGGCTTGACATGCCTTCCGAAACACGGAGTAGCGCGAGATAATAATTTTTTGGTCACCCATCCCGTGACCGATCCCTGCGAAAGTTGCTTAATCACAACGATCGCGGGCCGCAGCGCTTAACCACTACGCCACCGAGCTACTCCAGGGAAGCGATTGACGTATGTTAATATTTTAGCGAAAGATATATTTTTTTTTGCCTACTCCGCAAGATATTAAATATTATAGGACTGAAATAGTGAAATTCAATTTTTTTTTATGGGATAGGGGGCAGACTAGTAGACGAATCACCTGATGGTAAGTGATTACCGTCGTCCATGGACACCTGCAACACCAGAGGGGCTACAAGCGCGCTGCCGGCCTTGGAGGGAAGGGTTGAGGGGTAGAGGGAAGGGAATAGGGAGGGGTTAGGCCTCCGGTACCCTCACTCATACGACGAAACAACGCAAGTGTGCTTCACGTCGGTTTTCTGTGAGGCCGTGGTATCACTCCGGTCGAGCCCATTCATGCCGAAGCGTAGCTCTCCCACGGTTTAATGACTCCAAGCAATATTACAGAATAGGATACGAAGAAATAGATACAGTTACCTCTCCTCGACAGTCAGATTAGCCAGTTCTGGTACGTAACACCAATGTTCAGAAGGCACAACGACCATAAAGATCTGGGCAAAATACACGAACGCGAAGAAGAACGAGTAGGGTATCATCAGCAGGAACAAGATCCGTTGATACCATCCAAACTGGCCGACGTAAGGGAATAGGTCGTCGAGGTCTTTTAGTCGCGGAGGTTCAACTTTTGAATCAGTTCCTGCAACAAGGATTTAGATATTTTTGTATGTGCCGATGTATGTGAATCGTTGTCTATTGTTCGATTTTTACAATTATTTAAAAAAAAACATCAAAAAGAGGTAGAGGCATATAAATTTATAAATGTATGTCTGTCGATTTCTCGGTCATTTACGGATTTATTTTCATAATTCCTATTTTATCCGAAAGGTTTTGGGGCTAAAGTTGTTCCATAAAAATGGTATCAAAATCCAATCATTTGTTTTTATAACAAAATATCTGAAAGTAAATCTGCCAAATAAAATAAATACATAGATGTCATAATGAAATGTAAGTGAATAAAATTGAATTGGAGCGGCTCGGTGACGTAGTGGATAAGCGCCGCGGCCCGCGATCGTAATCGTTAAGCAACTTTCGCAAGGGTTGGTCACGGGATGGGTGACCAAAAAAAAATTATTATCTTGAGCTACTCCGTGCTGCGGAAGGCATGTTAAGCCGTTGGTCCCGGCTGCATTTGCAGTCATTAATACCCTCCAATCCGCATTGGGCCAGCGTGGAGGGTCATGGCCCATCCTCTTTAACCATCCATAAGGCCCTGAGCCCTTGTACTGGGGACGTAAAAGGGCTGGTGATGATGATTATGAATAAAATTATTCGATGCTTTATTATGAATTTTGCTTAAACAATTTTTTTAAATTAAGTTACTTAACTATGACGATCATGCTTTTGTATTTTTATGCAATAAAAAATATTATCACCCACCTTTCATTTCATATGTCATATTACCAAGGTCAGAGGTGTCACCGTTGACCTTGTTGTTCTTCTCATGTGATTCCATTCTCGAACTGAGTTTTTCCCTTGATAGACACTTTTCCTAACGTGTTTTACGGGTGCCTTACCTCCAACAGTTAATTACTGTTCTGAAAATAATATAATAATTTATTTATGGTGGAATGCGGGTTATTCGTTTACATGTTATTTTAGTTTTACATTGTCTCATCACATGTTTACAAGATATACAATAAAAGTTGTATGTGTATATTTAATTAATTCATGCATAAATAGAAATTCGAAAAAGCTATAGTCAAATATTTCTATGTACATTTTTAATACATACGTAATAAATTTAACAATATCCAATTTCATTCAATAACATAATCCATATTATGTAATTGCCTATATAAATTAAGTGTCCACAACAAGAAACGCCTAATTATATATCATATTTGTTCTAAAATCAAACCATGCGCAGTACATGATAATTAATTCTATCAAGATTAATTGACAAGCTTTTTATGTTATTCGGAATATTGTTATATATTTTTGGGGCTAAACCAAATAAACTAATTTCAAACAGCGCGTTTGAGTGTTTAATGGCATATATACGGTTCCCTTGTCCTGTTCTCTGACTCTTTTGTTGATTTTATTCTAAAGTAGAAAAAACAGGATTTTGCCTAACAAATAGCGCAACCTCATGAATGTATAGGGATGGTAGTTAGCATTTTTTAGCTGCTCGAAAACTGTTGAATGAATTGAATGGCTGTTCAATGATTGAATTTACAACCATCAGTAAATTTTGGACCTTTTATTGGCCTTTTACACATCTTTTGTGCTTTAAATACCTTCATTTTATCTATAGAGTTCCTCTAATATAATAAAACCATATTACGGATTAAATGTATCCACGATAAGTCGTGACAACAGCCTTGGTGTTTGCTACCTTTGATAGTCTGTACAGAGCGTAGGCAGAGCTAGCTAACTTCGCACAGAGCCGAACTTGGAACTCGGTATGACATTTCCAATTAGTTTGGTAGTCAATTTGGATGCTCAGATTAATATATTTGATTAAAATATGTTATTATAAAATTCACGACTATTTAAATTGATCCTTATTTACTATGATAAATCATTTATTATATTCCGGCTACATTTCCGTCATGTACCTCTAGAGATAGCGTGCCTTTTTAGCTTTAAGTAACAGTAGGAAAAGTGTTATATTATTAACACTTACAGCTATTAGTCAAGAGAAGTAATTACTTGAGAAAGTGCCATAAGTTAAGCTAATATTTCTAACAAATTAACATGAATTTGAATGAAGTAATAACTTTCAAAAGTAAGAATACTATTATATTTAGCTAACTATATGAAAAAAAGAAAAAAAAAAAGAAAAAGGTGAAATATTTAAAGCGGCTCCCATACAGTAGACGTGTTTGTTTTTCTCATTCCCGGTACGGAATCCTTGCACTTGTTTTATCAAATCTCTTTATATACGATTCACTAACAAAACCATCATGGCATTAAATCTTACATCGATTAAAATAAAAAACGTAACTTACTCGAAGCTTCAATTGTTTTGGCAGAAAGGAAACCCTTTAATTTTTGCAAGTCAACACAAAAAGTACTCGTCGCTTTATTGACTGTTTAACACAGTTTGACTTCAGTTACATTACTGGCATCATTTATATAAGTATGTTATGCTTCACTGTGTTAATAATTAAGATAAATGTGCTTCTTATCGAGTGACTTGGATTGTTTGATCAAGCTTAAGCATATGGATATGTTTGCCAGAGTAATTTGTATTACAAATATTCTTGCTGTAACGACAATTACCATATCACTTATATATTTATTTAATTAAATGGATCCTCGTGAAACCATATACAGTTCTATAACACCAGTAACTTTGTTCTATGACCAATTTATAATTCGTAACATTTTGTTTTCATACAAAAATAAATGTAATTTTGCACTGGAACAGTTTTGAACTATACAGTTTTGTATTAACTTATTTAATAAATACACGAGACTCCAACTTTGTTCATGAATAGGTTGAAAGTGGGGAATTTTGTTTAGTGGCGGATTACTTTGACGTCATTCACGAATAGTTAAAAGGAAACAAAACGGTTTGTATGTTTAGGGATTATATATTACGTATGAAGACCTGTTTTATCAACAAAATCATTAAATTTGTGTTTACTCGCTAAAACTGGATATTTGTATATTAATTCAGATTCTGCATCATGCGGTTATTATCAGTACTTAGGAGCGATTTCGGGAGAATTTAAATAAATTGTAAAAGCCGGTATTATTTTTTATTGTAACGCCTCAGTTTCACCGCGTGGATTGGTGTAATTTAATTAATATGGTACTGTAATGCGATTCTGTAAACACATTTTGAACATCGGAAAGTTCTTCACCTACTAGAGCCTGCCCTCACTGTGGAATGCGGAGTGAATTCAACTTTAAAGAATCCTTTACTAATCAGCCCTGCGATTCTCTAAAAATCCAGACCCGAATTCGAATTCACTCAGTTGTCAGAATTCACTTCAAAAAGCGGCATCCGCTCAACCTTGAATTAGTAATAATAATGTTTCATGGCATAAGTGAAGTGAGTTTCGAAATGACAAAGAAATAAAATATTTGAAACACGTATATTCAATCAATTTTGTATTTTTTTATACAAAAAATATAATTTGTTAACATGTATTCGGACAAATGAGTGAATTCGAATTCGGGTCTGTTTTTTTACAGAATCACAGGGAGTAGTAGTAGTTTGTTTCATCCATGGGATAGGCGAAGGAAATTAGCCATACTGCCAAATATTGAGTAGGTTATTTTATGAGGAAAAGCCCATTCCTTTTTGTCTTGTTGATGCCAGCTCTTTAATATTATATCTTTCTGAGCAGCAAAATCTTGATTTAAATTCTTTTGTCTTGTTAAAGGTGGTCAAATCAGATTTCTATAAGAGTTTAGGTAATATAATCATAAATAGTAAATAGTTTTCTGGGCAATTTAAGATATTATGAACGGGAGGCGGGATAGTCAGTCTTATGTGTTTTCAGGAGGATTTTTTACGCTAGTCTGGTATGACATCAGTACAGTACAGTTACCCAATACAGTTTCTCTGAGAGTAGCATAAATTTGGCTCCGGTCGCCCTGTTACGGATAAAATAGATCGGTATATCAGTAGTTACGACATAGCTGAAGAACTGGAGATGACCACAAAACAGTTTTGTCGCATTTGAAAAAAGCTGGGTACACAAAAACGTTGGATATTTGGGTACCTCACGAGCTCACTGAACCTAATGAACCGTGTACTTATTTGTAATTCTTTATTACGGCGCCAAACTGAACCAATTTTTGAAGAAGCTGATAACTGATGATGAAAAGTGGATCACGTACGACAAGAACGTGCATAAAAGGTCGTGATCAAAGGTCAGTCAGGCTTCTGTGAAGCTTGTGGCGAAACCCTGGTTAACTGGCAACAATGTGATATTGTGTGTATGGTCGTATGATTGGAAGAGCTGTTACCGCAATGTAGCAACATCCACTCTGAACTCTTTGAAAAGCGAAAAAACTTTTTCCCCAAACTCTTATAAACATTGATTTCTCACAATTCAATATTTACTATACTTAAATATGCTACGACGAAAAAACTATTGTAGATGTTAAATTGATAATTACCTAATTAAAAACGCTGATATTCTTTGTATACTTATAATAGATTTACTAATAGGAGAGCTGGTAGACATTTTTCGCGAAATATTTGTTTTTTTTTTTCGTTGAGAGCACGTAGCACAACAGTGAACTTCGGTAAATAATATCTCGGAAAATGATTTTAATAAATATTTTAATGAACGATTTGTATTATTTATTAGTTTAAACTTTCTATTAAAGGACATTTGTGACCTTTGACCTTGAATTACTTAATAAAATGTTATAAGGAGCTATTTTTATGTTATATAAATGTTTGCTAGCTCTTGGACTATAGGTAATTTTTTATATAATATAGATGTCCGCTAGCTCTTGAACTATAAATAAATCTGTCAAAGTCGAGCAACAACAGTAGAAAATATAAATGTACGATTACGTACAGTTACTAATTTATGTTTTACTGCTGACGTGTAACCTACTTTGGTGTGCGGTCAATAATCTAAGTATATCATATGTACCGACATTAAAGTTAGTTGTAATTTATACTTGATCAACTCATGTACTAACCACTATCTACTCACTAAATTAACTTAACTATTTACACAGCGCAGTAACTTGAACTATATTCAACTTTCTCCAAACTTCTATCAACTACACTCTTCAAGACCCCAACAATATAGTTGAATATAAAAATGGGACATTTCTTTGCGTGCAAAATATATTCAATACGCACCTCGTTTTTCCACTGTTTCCAACGAAGACACTATGTTCTTTCATTCAATATTATTAATTGAAAATAAGTTGATAGGGACGTGCGTTCAACAAGACGATATTAACTAAAGTGCTTCGAAGGATCGGTGTGACAATTAATTAAACTAACAATAGATTTATCGATAAAAACTATCGATATGCTGCAGTAAGATAAGTCTTAATATAATTATATCCCTAGGAATATAATGATATATCGGAAGATAGTTGTACGAAATGGTTTCATTAATAGCCATAATAAATAATAATAATTAAGATCGCAATCTATTAATATGCTTATCTTACTACTTATCTCAATAAACTTAGTTGAGTATTCATTCATTTATCTTACTGCAACATATATACCTAAACTATCAATGTAAGCCGAGGACAGATTTGTTTTTTTTTGTTGGTTTGTAATAGTAAATATAGAATTTTTGCCAATTATGATCATAATGTTTGCCTTAATTTACATAAACTCTGTCTTTTGGGTCATATCTTTCTACTAAGATATAATGTTGCTGTCTTTATCATTACTAGCCTATTACGTCTTAATTATACATGAAGTTGAACTAAATCGAATATAGAGACTGGACAATGGCCCACCACGTGGGCTCAGTCCAGAATAGGTGATAACGACTGTAGTTGCAGCCGGGACCAAGGACAATAACGTGTCTTCCAAAGCACGGAGTAGTTCGAGATAATAAATTTCTCTCTTACTAAACATGGGGTGATTGATATATATATTAAATAATAGATATTAAGCAATGGGTGCCCCCTTGTGAAAGTTGCTTAAAAATTATATCGCGAGCGCCCCACGGCACTTCGAGCTCATTGTCCATATGTAATATACTTAATTATGTTTGTGCCTTAAGCCAGAAGAATATGTAAAACTATAGGATAAATTAATTGGTAATTCAATACGCGATGACACACGGTGCGAAATACACGATTATTTCGGCTCTATCTTTACAGTGACGTAGAAAAAAATATTTCTTTTTATTATTTTTCTTTACGCTGAAAGACTAAAGTTATAAAATTCTTTAATATTTTAAGGATCAAAAGCTTTCTTCGATTCTAATCAACGCATAGAATTGTGCAAACTTTGTGTAAATGACATTATTTATATTAAAGCTGATACGTTTCTCGAGTATATTCTTTTACAGTAAAAAATACCGTCCTGAAGTTAGGTTGGAATTTATAAGTGAAGATTTCAAAAATATTTCAATAATTTTTGTTTAGAAATTATCGATAACAATGTCTACAACACTAGCTCGGAGCATCGATTAAGTGTTTTGCGTGATTCATAACAATTAACGTTCGATGTGTCTGTTCATTTGAGATCATTTAGCAGCAACTATAGTTTAAAGTTCGAAGGAACGTGACACTGGGTGTTTATGAATGAAAAATAAAACATACCTATACTGTAGCTATGTTTTACTTTCGCAACCAAAAAACAATCACCTACTCGGCTCGATGGCGCCGCGATTGGTTACTATCTAGTAACTGGATGGGAAACCACCATAAGTGTTTCATTTTAAGTTACCGATGTTTGCTGCCGAAGGTGGTGGTAGGGGCGTTGGTATAAATGTAGTTCCCAGTTGGTGGGCTTTTCTATTTCCCTGTGTTCCTTTCCATGAGCAATGAGTGCTCGGATTTTAATTTTACCTATAGTAGTATTAAATAAGCATTGCATTGCCTCATTGACAAGTGGCTTGGTACTCAATTATCCCCTATTGTCATATTGACCCATGTTCATTGATAATTTTTCAATTATCATCTTAAAAATAATTGGTAACTAAAATAGGCTATTATGAATAAGATGACGCTTACGCCGTTGGTACACAGACGCATTCGCTTACGAAAGCGAAACATCTGCGTCTGTGTAACGTTTTTCGTAGTTGCCTGCGAAAAGACACATCTATTCCGTCGAGCTAGTAATAGAGCGAAAGAAAGCACATGCGTGTCATTGCCATACTCATAAGTTCTTTGTTGTTTCACTTTCGCATGCGATTGCGTCGGTGTACGGATGGGATAAAAATGAAAAATCGGCTAAAAGCGAGTTTTCTTACTTTTCATGTTGGTTCAGTAACTGGTTAAAACCAGCCATGTGTGAATATAACTCTTGCACGAAGGATTCCGAACCAATTATATATAAAAACGGTAAAAAAATGATGTTTTATGGACGGGAGCCCATTATATATTTATTTTATTCTGTTTTTAGTGGTTCTTGTTATTTATTTATTTATTCTTTATTGCCTAACTAAGGACAAATGGCGGACTTAATACCATAGAGGCATTCTCTCCCAGTCAACCAGTTATATTGTACAGAAAAGTAGTAGACGGTAAAGATTAAAAACCGTACATAAAATCGTAACTATAAGCATTAGCATATATACATACAATACATATACGCATATATACTGGCGAAAATTTTTCTGGTGGGAGGCCCCGAAGAAGTGAAGCCCAGATTTCAAATACTCAGGAGTACGTGGATCGAAAAGAATGTTGAAGAGGGTACATACGATCCTTAGGTTTCTGCGCTCACCAATAGGCAACCACTTATGTTGTAGACTGAAGTGAGAAATGTGGTCATATTTACGTAACCCGAAAACGAAGCGAATGGTGTTGTTGAGATGACGATCCAGTCTGTTGAGGAAAATCTGATTGATATCTGAAGTACAAATATCAGCATAATCAAAAAGGGGATGTACAAGGGATTGAATTTACTCAGATTTAATGCAGGAAGGAAGAAAAATCTTCAGCCGATATAGAGAACCAAGACTGCGGTGTATTTTGCGACAGATATTTTCCATCTGCCCATCCCAGTGCAAAGAACTATCAAGGACAAGCCCAAGGTTTTTCATAGTATTAGTATATGGTATTACCGTGCCACCATAAACAACAGCCGGAATTGAAAATCTGTTGAGCTTCGCAATTTGACGTGGGTTCCCGATGATAATGGCCTGACATTTGTCGGGATTTACAGAAATTCGAAAACTATGTGACCATTCGGCTATCAGTGAGAGATTCCTATTGAGTAGTTCAACAGCTCCATTCAAGTTAAGAGCGTCGTCCTGCGCGTACAATTGAAGGTCATCAGCGTATAGGTGATAAAAAGTAGTAAGAATGATGGTTAGGGAGTTAATAAAAATTGAGAAAAGAAGAGAGAGCACACCGCCTTGAGGAACCCCAGCAAACAGAGTACGCCAGTTTGAGACGGTATCACCTATTCGTACTGCTTGCTGGCGACCTCGAAGAAGAGGAGCACTGAGGCTGAACATCCAATTCGGGAAAGAAGAGAGAGAAGGAGATCGTGGTCAACAGTGTTGAAAGCGTTAGAAAAGTCGAGTAAGACCAATACTGTAAATCTCGAGCCCTCCATACCGTCGGATATATGATGCAGATATAACGGCATGTTATAACGGCAACAGAAATACATCATCTGTAAAAATTTGAACTGTCCAACTATCACGGTTCCTGGGATACAGCCTGTACACAAACGGATGAATAGTATATGGCGTCATTATTTTACTGGACAAGTGTTATAATCTGACGGTACTCATGCGTATGTAACAAACGCGTCACGAATGTATTTGTAGCAATGACGGCACTGACCCCATCATACTGTTACGATACAATCAAAATTGTTAATTATATAAATTGGTCTCGCAAATGTATTTATTTATTCTTTATTGCATTTTAACACAATAGGCGGACTTAATGCTAAAGGCATGTAGTGTTACAGTATGGCTGTATGATTTGTTTATATACTCATTAGATGTAATTAAAATACTGTTTACGACTATGACCTATAAAAGGGTTTAGATATGTTGCGACTTCAATTGGTCGTCTAATATAGTTTTATTTTTATATAATATTGTCTCTGATTGCATGTCAATAATAAATTTTTACAAAGACATTAAAAAGAAAACGAATAACAAATAGAATAGAAACAAAAAAGGTTGACTGTCTTGAAATACGTAAAAATAAAACTATATTAGACGACCAATTGAAGCCGCAACATCATAATAATTATTAGGTATATTAAGCAACACAGTGTTGCTATTTTCTGTCACCCTATCATTTTTCTGTCGCTGAATTGAAAAATATTCATTCTATATTCAGGTAATCGTCTACACGATGGAGGACCTAACCACTGAGCGTTGTCCGGTGCTTGGTAGCCGATCCAGAAACTTTCTGTCCCAACCGGTTTTCTCGCTATGTGTACCACCCACTGCCACTTCAGCTGAGTAATCTTCGAGCAAGTTTATCTACGGATCTCTTCTTTCGTCTAATAGGATATCGCAGAGAAACACCAAGCATTGCACTCTCCATTGCCATCTGGGTGACCTTGGGCCTTCTTATGAGATCAATAGTGAAGTCGAAGATTTTCGGTATGTAATACTGAAGTATGTATGACGTGAAGATTTGAACGGCTTCTTATCTTAGAATAAAGTTACACATACCAGTACGTTAAATATCCAGAATGTATTTCAAAAAATTTTTAAATTTTACCCTCATTCAATTAAGGTTTAAAATCAAATGAATTATTTTTAATATATTTTAACCTGTAATTAGTACAGACAGCAAGCCAAGTTATACGAAACTGTCTAATTTCTCGCGCAATTTATTATTAAAACCTCGATGAATTGAGATTAGAGTATAAATAAATTGTGGAAATTTAACATATCGTGGTAACATTTTTTATTATGTTAATAATAAAAAACTTTCTGAATTGAGCACATGTTTATTATTTTTTTTTATCACAGAACATCATTCCAATGATCACAATATTGTACTTGCACAATCGAATTTTATTAAAATGGCAACATAAAAAAATACTGTTACAACTTATCCAATTTTTCACAATATCAACATCAAAGATTTATAAACATCTGGTCGCTTAAATAAATAAAGAATAACTGAAAAATATAAGGAAATATGAAGGAATAAATAATTTTAATAAAACACAATTTAACACCTTTCAAATATAAATAACCTTAAATTAATATTCAAACAAAAACAAAGAAGCAAACTAAAAATGTAGATAGGATAACCAGATGCGTATTTTACATAAAATAACATTTTTAAAT